CTCCCTTTCTAGCAGGTCAGCCTAACAAACATCTCACACAGACTGTTCCCTCTCTCCCAGAGAAGATCGTTTTCAGCCCTGTTGAACAACCTTTCCCCAGAGGTACAGAGAATGGAGTAGGGAACTGTATTGTAGTTTCCCCTGACTTAAAGTCATCAAATTGGTTGGACTGCAACTCAGGCTAGAAGCTCTGGAGTCGTAATCCAACCTGCTGGGGAGGAACCAGGTAGGGGAAGACTTTCAGGGCCCCGTTGAATTGACTGCAGCTCCTAGAAGACCAGACACTAAAATAACAGTGGCTAAAGCTGGAGGTCAGCTGGAGAATTCCAAGAGAGATGGTAGCCAGAATGATGAATTCTCACCAGCTAAGAGAGCCCTCAAGAGCTTGAACTGATCCAAGCTGGACAGCCTGTTCCTATTTTCAGCTACATCCCATGAGGGGCTGCCACAGATGATGCCTTGAGCAAACTGCTGACCAGAGGCAGGTCATACAAACTTTTAATAGCTACTGCACACTCCTGGAATGGGCTTCAGACTGTTTTAGTTTCTTTGAGCCTCAGGATAAAACTGTAAGTAAACAGTGAGCTGCAATGTTGTAGAATTGTTGGGAGTTTATCAGATGTGGGACTTCTGGAGGTGGGAGGCAAAGCTACATCATTTGGAATTCCCAACCTGCTAAAACCTTCCCTTATTATGCATACTATCTAAGGTTGTATATATCTGTTATTGGCTCACTTGCCAAACCAAGTAAATAATAGGAAAGGCCTCTAGGATTATAAGCTGTTGGGGATCAAACACAAACCATGCCCTCCTCACCAAATGGTTCTTTCAACGTTCAGTGGCTCCACTGAGCATCTTTCCCCTTTTATTTTTCAAATTAATATCGTTCTGGAGATCTCTGAAGATGCAGAAACGTCATCTAAATGGAACAGGTGCTGATTCTACTTCCAAACTGTTAAGATATGGGACAACCAAGTTCCCTATTAAAAGGAATCATTGGGCATTACAACAAAATATATAGCATTCCGTTTCTTGCCCTATTTCCTCATTGGACAATCAAATGGAAAGGATCATTTCCTCCCATTCTTGCCCTAATGTGGCTGAAACCCTTTTTCTATCCTTCTGGGGGAACCAGATTTCCATAATCATCCTCCATTCTCCAACCGAAGGAGCAAAAATGCTTTAGATCCTTGGTCTGAGCGTGCGTACATTCTCCCTAGTCAAGTTGCTCTGAGACATACACATGCCCGTGTGTAGGTATATGTTATCACCAGGCAATCAGTCTCCTAAGTAATTCAGATGGATCAATACAGCAATTCTATTTGCTGTACATATGTCAGTCTTCATATTTAAACTGCATTAGCAGTAATGATAGGAGAGCGAATTCAGAAAGTTCTTTTCATTTGAAGTAATGATTGATCTGGAAACCTCAGCTTAGAAGAGTGGAGGTTTTCCCCCCTTCAGGTCTATGACATTATGGCAACGTTCTAGCACTGCCTTAAAACCACACTATGTCTTATTTTCTTTTGACTTAGCACAATATGCAAACCCAGCTGTTGTAGTTTGCACATTGCTTTATGGCTTAGTGCAACAGAAAAATCCATTCAACTGTGTTTTGAACAATAGCCACGTTGGCTGGAAACTCCAGGAGTTGGACATGATAGAATCTCAGTGCAGGAATTACTAAGTGGATTTCTTGAGAAGAAGGTCCTTACTGGACTCAAGTCAAAGTAATCAAACCAGGAGCAGGCAACTAGAAGGTGACTTTGGGGTGGTGGCGGTTGGTCTTGCAACCCATCTGGGTTTCTCATGGCTTGTGTATACTCTTCCCGGCCATTAGATCACTTAAGGCCTCCTTGTGGCTCCTTAAATTGCAAACTCAGATGGCAAGTGTTGGGGGAAATGCAATTTCTGGAGCAAAATAGGGCGCTGATAAACAAGTGAGAATTATCAACCAGGTCAGAAGGAAACTTTGCGGCCGGGGGAAGGGGAGAGAGAACTGTGTGAAAATGTGAAATACTATTAAAACCCATAACTTCTAAATCATCTGGTCCTATTAAGTCCTGCAAAAGCCACCAGATGTCCCCAGGGAAGAGAAACAAGACAGGAGGCAAAGTTGGAAGGAGCTGCTTGTAATATCCCCACCCTTCAACAGGTAAGAATTTTATTCATGTATATACCTTGCTATAAACAATTAAGGCACCTATGGTGGTCCCAAAATGGCTCCAGCCTTCTTTCCTTTTTATGAGTTAGATCTACCCTTCTAAGGAGTAAATGGAAGGAGTTATAGCTCCATCTGACTGACATATAGTAGTAAGATGTCTTCTTGGAGGTGATCCTGATTGGAGACCAAGGAGGTGACTGCGAGGTTCACACATCTGCTAAGCCATCCTGTGGTTGTGTGGTTCTGGCTTAGTGCACTGTGTGAACCTAGACACCATAATTTGTAGACTATGGTTTATGAAAAAATAAATCATTGCTGAGTGTGAATGACAGAGGTAAAACAGAAAAGCATGGCCATACTATTGGCAAGCTATATAATTTTATTCTCATACTTGCATTAACCGGGAGATAACTCAAGTCATGGTAACAGACCTCCAGGCTTCATGGGAGTTGTACCTGCTATTCAGTGACAATATGGCCCCAGACAGTTTCTGTGTTATGGCAAAATTTAAAAATGAGTGAAATATTGCTATTTCTACTTCAAGGCTGCCAAAAAGTATTGTGACTCTACAAAGATGCCTCCATTTGGCACTTGATACCACTCTGCTCAGGTCTGTAGCTCAAAATGTGGGATATAAATTATTTATTTGTTTGTTTGTTCGTTTATTTCTGTATTAGGAGATAGATAAGAGGAGGCAGGGAAGCAGATTGAAGGGACCGTCAACCTACAAAGCGCCTGAGATTTTGCAGCGTTCACAAAATTCAACTGGGATTGTGTTTACACGGGGCTGTCGGTAGTCTCCCAATTCTGGATGCCCACAGAACATTAAGGGTGATGGCCGGCATACCACCAATGTTAAATGCAGCAGTCCTTCTTAAGACGCCCAAGTTACGACCAAGTAGCATTTTCACCCAAAGCCTGAGAACAACCAAAGAGGATCACTGTACTAACTTACGCTGGATTGTAGCCAGCTTCGTAGTAAGAGAGGTTCTACCCAATCATGGCATTGTAGACCTCTTTGAAAAAAGGAATGAAAAGGGAGGCCTCTGATCGGAGCAGGTGGGAAGCCTGGTGCCTTGCCATGCAGTCGGGTCAACCTGCAAGTTCCACCGAGGGCACTTCCCCGTGCCATAGAGGAAAATACACTCCCCTACACCACACACACACACACACACCCATCCTGGGATCCGTGCCAGGAACGAGCGTGAGCGACGCTGTCAACTCCACGGTTTCGGCACCCGAGAAAACAAGCTTCCACGCCCGCCCGTTTCTTTGCCCGTTTCTTTGCCCGCTCAACCCAGCTTCCTCCAGGACTCCCAGCACGCTCCTTTGATGTGCTCGGGAAGCAGTGGTGGGGTGGGGTGGCCGTGGGGAGACGGATGCGCTACGGAGAGGGCTCAGGGAGGCGGCGATGGAGGGGGGGGCGAAATCATTCAGATGCAAGGCAAGACAAAAACCGGGGGAGGGTTAACCATTGTAATTTCGGGGCTGGCTCAAGATGATGTCATAATGGCAAACAGCAAATGCAACAGCCAAACGCTGGGCACCTTGTAAATCTCTCTGCCCATGTGACCTCTAATACCGATTTGGCCGAAATACCAAATGATTTCTTATCGTTTTCGCATGGAGGAAAACGACTCTGCCTTGGGAACCATCCGGAGCCCTCTGCCGCCGCCACTCTGGGGGTAGCGCTTCCCATTGCCAGCTGCCTCTGTGCGTGTGCGCGCACGGGTGTGTGTGTGTGTGTGTGCGCGTGTAAGAGAGGGAGAGAGAGAGGGAGAAGAGGAGGTAAGGATGGGGGAGCACAGACCTGACTCTCCACCAGCACACACCCCTTTCCCTACTACAAAGACAGCGCCAGCAATCACATTCGCCAGAGTACAAACCCCGCTGCTCCCCGCCACCCCCTCTCCCCTCCTT